ATTTAAAGAGAGAAGAGAGGAAACTTCTGTTGAATGTGTTCTTCTTGATAAGTATGCTTGCTGCATGTGTGTATATATATGTCAAAATGCATATAAGATATGTGAATTCTAAAGCATGTACATTTTGTCTCAGAAGAAATGTAAAATGAAAAACAGTGATGGAAAACTACACTAGAGAAACCAGGAAAAGTGGAAAACAGAATTTATTTTATTTAATATTGCTCCATTCTTGTTGCAAATATTTGATAGTTTTTTCTGAATTTAGTTAACTGTATCTCTTACCAGGTGATGATGACTAACTATGGTGAATAATAAGTCATGAATATTTGTACAGTGATTTATGGTTGACAGATTCTTTTTTTGGTACCAGGGATCGAACTCAGGTGACCCTTGCACTTGCGAGGCAGGCGTCAGCACCACTGAGCTAAATCCCTGCCCAGACAGATTGTTTCTAATATGTGAGAGTAGGTATGCCTTGATACTCTGTTAAAATCCACACCTTCCATTTGTTGATTTTCTTCTCTAGGCGTTTTAACCTTACTGGGCTATTTTGATTTTTAGCTAATGAATGAACGTTAAAGAATTAAGTATCTATATACCTGTACATAAAAATTAGAAGAATCACTTTTACAAAGCTTTTACAATCCCCCCAAAATAATTCTGTTTCACACCTTGGATTCTAAATGCAGTGAGTTGGTGTCAAACTGGATGGATAAGCACTTTCAACTCCTTTCTGTTACTCATTTATTCACTAAATATGTCTTCACTAAGTACTATGTACTGAGCATTGTATACATACTGGAATATCATAGTAAATAAAACCATAGTCTCTGCTTGCAAGGACAATCTTGTAAAAGAAATATAAATAATACAATGGAGGGATGACAGTATAAATAAAGGCATTTCAAAGTATTGTAAAAGTCCAAAGGAAGCAGGTATTAACTGCATGAGGAATCACTTTGGAATACAGTAACATTTGAATACAGACAGAAAATTAAGCAAACAAGAATAGGATGTCATAGAAAGGATTAGAGGTGTTATATTCAATTCTTGAAGAAAAGCATGAGAAAGTTAGATATGATTTCTTGCCAGGGTGTAGAAAATCAAAATATAGCTAGTGCTTAGGGACGGGGGCATAATCTATGGCCACTTTTATTTCGTCAGTGGGCCCGTATTGTAGCTAACTGGTTAAATGGCTATTGTGATAATGTAGGCACAATGATGGGGACCTGGACTGCAGGAACTTAGGAGGACAGAGGAAGGGACAAGCATAAGCACAAGGCATACTTAAAAGGTGGATCCAACAGAAGTTGGTGAGCCACCTCTGCTGATGTTTGACTCCATCTAGCTGAGGGTTGTTGGAGGGTAGTACTGTTACCTAAAGAGGAAGGCAAATGGGAAAGTCTGGTGGAAAGAAATGACAAGCTCAGCTCGGGATATAATTAGGTTTGAAGACACGGCACTGAAGGAAGAAGACTGCACCACAGGTATGAATGTACGTACCTGTGCATTCATCATCAGCAAATAAGCAATAGTTGACTCTCTGGGAAGAAAAAAAAACAACTGAACAGGGAGTGTACTTAAATAAAAATGGGCTAAAGCCAAATTAACATTTAAATGTGTGAATCTAAGATGTAGGAGAAAGAAGTCTCTAGAAACAAAACAATAATTTCAAGCAAAGAGTATAGTCTATCAAATAAGGTAAAGATTGGACAATTTCTATTGGACCAAATAATGGAAGGATTCTCATCTCATTAACCAGAGCAAATTCAACAGAAATATGAAAACAGAAACTGGATTAATTTTTACGTTTTTTGTTTTGTTTTGTATGTGTGGTATTGGGGATAGAATCCAGACCCTTGTGCATGCGAGGCAAACACTCTGCCACTAAGCTATATCCCAGTCTTTTTACTTTATTTTGAGACAGGGTCTGACTAAGTTTCAGAGGCAGGCCTCAAATGTGGGATCTTCCTGCCTCAGCCTCTTGAGTAGCTGGGATTACAGGCATGTGCCATCTCAAACAGCACAGAACCTGGGTTAATTTTTAACCTAAGAGAAAAATAATCTCAAAGAAAGCATTTGTGCATATAGTTGAAAGACACACAGCTATGGCGTCAGAGGAACTGGGTTTACAGTTCCATCCCACCTCTTCTCTCCTTGTGGGCCAATCAAGTCACTTAATCCCTCAGGGATAAGTTCCTTCCTCAAGTAAAAAACAGAAATAAGACCTTTTCTCTACCCACCCCATGCAGCTTTTCTGAGAGTCAAATGAGCTAGGGAGGTAAATGCATTATTAACCATAAATTGTATTCTATAAAGTGAGGTATTGCTGAACTAATAATAGAAGTGGCTCACTTTATGCCATGAGTGATTTCCTGAAAAGTTGCACAAATCAAATAGTACTCAGTGTTTAAAATTAGTTTGCTATTTAAAGGAACCGAGGGTGAATCCTTTGAAAAATGACAACATGTTTTTACTGTGAAGAGTCATTCTGCAAAATTTTTCCTTTCTTTCTCTTTCTTCTTCTTCTTCTTCTCTGTCCTTTCTTCCTTTCTCTCTCTGTTTCTTTCTTTTTCTCTTCACTTTTCTTGGTCTAGTTTCCCTAAACCATAAGTTAGGACACAGCCTGCTTTAGGAAATGTAGTACACAAACAAAACCATGACAGTGAATGCCTTCCTAGAGCAGAAATTAATAAAGCTGGATACAAAGAGACAAAAATATAGATATTGAGGCAGGCTTGGAAAAGAGAGAATTCGTACAACTAAAAAGAGAAATAAATTGTTCTGTAAATTGTCGCATGCCCCAGTGCCATGCTTGCCCAAAGGGTTCAAGCCTCAGGGCCATTGATTGCCTATGAAATTCTGGGCCCATCACAGGAGACCTGATCCACAAACAAGGGAAAGCATAAAGATTGTGGTTAAAAAAAAATCTTAAAAAGAAAATCGTACTTTAAAAACATAAGGGAAGGATAAGGAAAGAGAAAGGCAAAGGAAAAAGCATAGGAAGAGATTAGAGAAGAAAGCTGTACATTTTGGTGCTCAACTAGGATTGGAATTATGACACTACGATACCATCTCTCACTCTTCGGCCTTTAACAAATTGTTTAACCATTCTGAGTTTATTTCCTCATCTACTAATATAGATAATCATACAGACTTTATGCTGTGGGACCTAAATGAGAAAATAAGTGCCTAGGAGATTGTCTGTAGCACTATTAGTATTCACAAATGAACAGACATTACTATTTTTTATTAGAGAGCCTTGCTTCCCTAATCTGACTTTGCATGTTGAGTAGATTGACCAGAATAAAAGAAGTTCTGTTTTATTTGTTTGTTTTAAGAAGTTTTGTTTTGCAAGCAACATGTCTCCTATGATAGCTGCTAAGATATTTGTCCAGCCATGAGGGTGGACTCATTCAAACAGCCCTGTGTTCATTTTCTTCTAGTGGCTTTCTCTGCCTTTACTGGAAATTAGCAACTATTGCCGCTGCATCTGGTTTAGAGATCCCAAACACTGTATTGCTCCGAGAGCTACATTCATAAACTGCCAAAAAATGACCGCATTATTTACGCACGATAGTCAGCTTCCCTGGCTCTGATGACCTCCTGTTATCACAGTCTAAAATGAGAAGCCCTCCATTTGCAATTTGCCTGTGTTGGATCTGGGTTTTCACAACATGTAGTTTGCACTGTAATAATACATATAGATCTTTCATTTTTCTACAGAAATTAATTGCCTAAACCACAATGATTTATAGTCATACTGAACATGATTATTAATTTTCTTGATGATTATACCTGTGGGCGGCAACAAATCTACTTGTGATAGACCTGGTTTTGAATTGCTGCTAAAACTAAAATGTCCATAAGGAAATAACAACTAATTTTTACCTTAATCAACTTACATTTAAAGGAATTTAATATAGGGCACTTGTGCCTTGTGGGAAAACTTGTTTGAAATATAAGGTGCTGAGTTATTTATGAGAATAATTATATATTTGTTACTCTAGTTTGTACTGGGAAAACAAGATCTGAAATACATTAAAAATATAATGAAGTCAGTAGAGTTGTACATGCTAAAGAATTTTTGAACTAAGGAAAATATATAACAGAGCATAGCTACTCTGATTATGTAAAAAAAAAAAATTAAAGCTCACTAAACTGTGTTCCCTCTTTTTTTCCTTCCCTTATCCTGCCAGTGCCTCGAAGTGCTAGCATTTAACAGGAAAAGTAAGGCACGAAGAGAACAGTCTCATCCTTCCTTCCTCATTATTCACCTTAAAATTACTTGCAAAAGGCCTTGCTTATTTATTATAATGAGTACTGGTTCTGAGTAGCAGCTCGTGGTGCAGCAACAATCGTTGGTTTGGAGAAACTGAACCCAGATCACAGTCTTATGTCTCAAAAGCATGTATGGCTTCAGCTCCCGGTGCTGGGATGCCTCATTCACTTCTGTAGATCTATTTCTTCTTATTAGAATACAAGTTATAAAAAAGAGAAGGTGCTGATTATTGGTTGATATGCATACCTTATATAATTCTGTATGTTCATATCCCAGAAATATTTAAGGCTTTTTCTCTGATTAGTGGCATTATGCAGTTATGCAAATAATCTGTTATATCTAGGCACATTATGCCGTTATGTAAATGATCTATTTCATTTATATTTCCCACAGAGTAATGGGGTAGGGAAGAAATGCTCTCTTGCATTTCCTCTGGTTTTTAATGAGTTGTTCAGACATATTCAGCTGGTGAGCAGTCTGGATTTCTGGGGCGGGTGTGAGTTAACCTTTCTGTTCCATTACTACTACCTAGCTTTAACTTTCCTGTTCAATTCAACAAATATTTATTGAGCATTTACTGTGTGCAAGGTGTTTGTATAGGGGGAGACCCCCCAAAGGGCTCAGGCTGTGCTCAGGTGGACTCTGAAAGGGAAGTTATTTACCTTGTGATCTTTCCTCTCTGACCTCTTAGGCACATGATGAAAACCATTTCAGCTCCATCCACTTTAGATCTCCTTAGCCAGATGGGAAATGATTTCCTAAATTTTTATTTTTAATAGGAAAATAATTTTGAAAGCAAATAGATATGGCCATAGACAATAGGCTAAAAGTATACAATTTTAACTGATGAAAATACAGACTCTTTTGTCCATCTCAGATTCATGTTTAATGTTTTGCACTTAGAAACAGAAAAATCTATGCCTTCCTCGTATCTTACCTCTGGCATTCTGTGATACAGTGTCACACATGCAGTAAAATCATTCATGCACTAATGCCATGCATGCACTGTAGACATGTAGTCTACAACCTACAAGAATCTAGATCAGACTGGTCATTTCCTTTTATCAAATCTGATCTGCTAATTGTAGAGAATTCTCAGCCTCCATGTCAGCAACTGCTCAACATTTGTTGATTCACTGAACAAATTCTGAGCACTCAGCCTATGTCAGGGCACCAGCCCTCCTGGAGTCTTCTAGAGGAGAAAGACCAATCTAAAACATGGGGGCAAACTGTGCTAGGTGCTGAGAAGCAAGATCTTGGGCTGCAAAGTGCCCTTGTCAGGGAAGTCAGAAAAAAGTTTAAACTTTTAGGTCTTCAGTCTTTTTGAACCACTTGTACCTCTAACAGTATATTTTGATTAGCTGCCAGTTTTCTGTGAAAAGGCTGGTGTGTGTTCCTTGGATAGACAATCTAAGAAACCGTGTTTTCTTCCCTCCAAGGTTGTTGTAGCAAAGGGGATTCCAAAAGACTTCTCTGGATTTGGAGTAGAGCAATTTCTGGTTTGAAGAACACCACAAAGCTTTCTCTGGTTCCTAAGAGAAAAAAAAAAACTCTATAATTTCTTCCTCTGTCATATCTTTGTTCTTTAACCATTTCAGGATTGACATATACGTCCACTGAATTAGCGTTAAGTACTCAATCTATAAGGTTATTCAATTTCTCTTATAAATGGATGATCTTGCTAGGAAGGTAAACAAAGAAAAAATAGTTCTTAAACTATAGTTCTCACTGTCTACACATTCTCAATAGAATATACTAGTCTTTTAACTGCTTCTGATTTTAATTCGATTCAGTAGCATTTCTTATGTATGAAAATCATGCTTCTGCCAGTAATTTTCTCCCTTTCTCTGTAAGAATATTCTACATCCAATCTGATGCCATCTGAAGACAAACAGCTCCTTTCCTTGGAAGAGTAAGCTCTGCCTACCTAATCTTAGACTTGGTCATGTGACTAACCTTGGCCAATGAAATCAGAGCACATGTTGGGTTTATTTATTCTGAGTAAAACCTTTAAGGGCTTTCAGGAGTGCTTTCTTCATATTTCTCTTTCTCATTCTTTTCTCTATGTCAAAAGAATGGCATATCCCAGGTGAGAACTGTTACTTGTGATTCTGGATTCTGAACTTAGTAGGTCATAGGGAGCAGAGTAAAGCCATAGCCAAGCAGGAAGTAAGCTTGAGCAGTGAGAGGTAACTCTGGAGAGCTGAGTGAGCAGACATGGAAGGCAGCAGAAACCATGGTGTGCACTAGAGAAGGAACTAGGGCACCTGCCCTGGAGTCATTCACCAGGAGACTCGTTCTCTACTAGGGGTTTCGAAACCAAGGGTGTCAGAAGCCGTAGTGAATTTTAGTAATTAAAGTTAACATCATACACCCACACAACAGCCATATGCCCTGTGTGAAATGATCCTTTCTCCCCAAGTTTGAAAAAGGTCTTTACAGTCAATCTACCAATCCACATTAAAATAAAATGACAAAAGAAATCTAGTAATCTGCCCATTATTTAGCAATCTCCATGTCCCCTTACTACTTCTTCATTTTAATTCTAAAATGTGACCAATAAGATTAGTAGCTTCTTGATTGTTCTGATTTCTATCTCCTGAATAAAGAAATTTGCTCAATTTCTCTGCTAATGCTTTGTGTGGGGTCTTATTTTGGGCTCCAACATTGAAATCAAGTGTTCTCTTTGGATTGAAGCTACCTTCACACCTCCAACATACAGCCATTTTTTTCTAACATGCCTTTAACATCTGAAGGCCAGTAGACCATCAGCAGCCTAGGCAGAAAATGTGTAAATCACATAGCACAGTATTCTTCAAATGCAAGTGACTGGGTGAATTCACCACAGTTAGTGGAATCTTAGAGCATTCTTGGATATTTACGGATTGAGAATAAATGACTGTTTACAAACTAAGAGTTCCTGGAAGAAATGTGTCCCAGTTATCCATTCATTTCAAGAAGGTGCTGATCAATTCAATTCTAAGCTTTGCTCTAAGACTGCATAATACACTGTTGCTGATATAAGATTATTTTCATAAATTATTGCACCTTTTCCTTTTTTTCTGTTCTCATTATTCCAAAGAAAAAACACAAGTTACACTTTTGCATATCCTGATTAATACCTAAAATGGGGCACATTTTAAGAAAAAGAAACAGACAAGGAAAAAATAGAGATAAATTGACAGAAAGAAGGCTAAAAGGAAGAGGGAAGAAAAGTGATGAAAAAAGTAGAGAGGAGAAAGAATAGTGAAGGGCAAAGATGAAGAAAATTAACAATTAAAGTAGTAGAATCTGGTGAACAGGGAGGAAGGATGGGACAGAAAGTGGAACTTTGCAAACACTGCCAATGTGGAGCAAAGTACTAAAAGAAATGGCAAAGAAAATATGAACACTTCAGTATTTAAAAATAAATAATATTTTTAATGCTTCTCGTAAATGTGAAAGCAAAAGGAAATGTTTCAGGAGGTAGAAACCTAGAGGAATACAGAAAGAACAGAGGAAAAAATGAAACAGAAGGTAAAAAGAAAGAGATTCTAAAAGAGTCACTTGATATCCACTAGAGGAAATGCTAGAGAATGAAAAATTAGAAATGAAAAGCTAGAAAAGCATTTAATTTTTTGTTTACTATTATCATTACATTTTGTCTTTTTAACTTTTTATTATTGTAAATGAATAGTATCAACAATACCAGTATTGCATACTGTACATCATTCTCTAGGTTATATTACATATATAAATCTGGAACAGTATTGGATGAAAATGCACCCAAAAGGGAAAGCACACATAAAAGTCAAAGATAAGCTATAACTTGACAATGTGCACAAAAAATCTTCTCTTCCAAATTATATACTTTAGCTTTCCAGTGCCAACTTTAAATTATGTTTATCTTTCTTGTGCATTTTCAGACTTGTTAAATAGAATCACAAACCAATTCATACTTTTGCTATTTATCTGGAGGAGAATCATCTCTTGTTGCAAGTAAGTCTGTGAAGGTGGCAGAGTACACAACCTCACATTTGGACAGGAGCAGACGACCTGCTCCATAGACAGACGGTCCCTTCAGACCTACACCCATGTGGGCCATCCCTACATCATCTGAAGAGTTGCTTTTCTCACTTGAACATTACATCTTTCAGTATATTCTCTACTCTCTCATCTCTGGGAATTCAGTTATGTCCTCCAGGAAAAAAATCTTAAAGGAGAAAAAGAGTGAAGAATCAGTAGCCTTCACACCGGAAAGAAAAATAAAAGATTCCCTTGCAATATTTATGCTTGGCCTTTGCCTGCTCTAACTAAAGTTTGCTGTCTTCAAAAGCAGGAAGCCTGTTGCAGGATCGGCTGCTTGCCAGATTTGTCTAGGCCTCATGGGCCTGAGATTTACTGTTTTTAATCTTTTTTCCGATGGGCATTCTAAATACCTGTTTCATGCAATGTTTAATTTCAGCACAGCAGGTAATAGTGTATCAAAAAATGGGAATAAGCTGCCTGTTTCCTTGTATGATGAAATGCTTAAAACACAGCTAGGTTTTGACTGCATTTAGTCCTTTATTCCCTTAACAGTCAGTGCCTGTTCCTTTTAAAAATGGTACTTTTGGTCAATTCCCTTGACTATTTCTGAGATAATGTCCTGTAGCCCATCTTCCTCACTAGGAATGTGAAATTCTACATCTATATTCATCTGGATACTTTTTGAACTGAGACTTGTACACAACAGAAAAGTCTGGGGCTGCTTCCTGTTAACAAAATAGCAGCCTGAGAACATCAAAGGAAAGCAATCTCTGAATCTTTCTACACAGATGTTGATGACCCAGAGAAATTATCTTCAAAACCATCAGCAACACCATAACCAATACCACTGTGAATGTGTACATATTGTAAAGAAATGTTTGATCCCTAGTGCTCAATGAAGAATTTATTTTAGTGGCTATAATTTGTGAAGTTAGTGTAACAATATTCAAGTAATGCTCAGTACAATTTTTTAAAAGGACAGTAATTGTTTTTCAGGACACCAGAAAGATAAGTCAAAAGAATTGACCACACAGTTATATAACTTAACACACACACACACACACACACACACACATCTCAAAAGAGAAGGAAAAACCAGATATTTTTATATAGGATAAAAGTAAGTCATTTGTGCTAGAAAATTAAGTCATGCAAAAATGAGAAGTTTCCTCAGGTTAAAAGAAAAACTGTGTCAGTTATTAGGTATTTATTAAGTATGCGTACGTAACTGACTCAGTGTGAAATGCTTTCCCTATGAAATGTGTAGTTCTCTGTAATGAAAGCTACAATGAAGTCAGTAACACTTCCTCAACTCCTACTCCCACTGGCCTCCTCACTTTGTCCATTTCAATAACAGCAAATAAATAGATAAATTTCAAAATATATGAATTAATCTTTAAGAGATAAAGCATAGCACTAAATAGGCTGGACCAAACTCAGGAACAAAAGAGAGAAATTATGAAGAAAAAAGGGCTCAGATAAAATGTCTTGTCTCCTTCAATCTATTCTCCAAATTGCAACCAGAAGGTTCATCTACAAATCCAATCTGGTAACAATAGTGATAATAAATCAAATTTGATCATGATATTGATATTGATAATAATGTTGATCAGTATACACATAATTGATTGCTCAGTGTATGTCAGGCATTATCACGAACACTCCGTACCGGACTTTACCAAATCCTATCTGTACCACATTGAAATGGCTTCAATGACCTTCCATCACCTGCAGGATAAGTTCAAACCTTAACAGAATACATGGAACCTTGCTTTATCTAACAGCTCTCTTAACTTTTTCAGTGTAATTTCCCGCTGTGTTATATTCCATGTGCTCAGCCATCAAGGACACCCTTCAGTTCTTCTGGGATACTGCTCTCCTTGTCTTGAAACTGGTCCTATTTATTTTGAAGGTCTCAACTCCTATATCACTCCCTCTGAAGAGCTCTCCCTGACCTGACACCCGCTGGTGAGCTGTCTCTCCTTCGTCCTCAGAGCACCTGTGCTTGCTGCCACCAGGGCCCTTATTATCACGAATTATAATTTCCTGTCTCCATATTCTTATTCAGACCACAAATTTTATAATGGACAGAGACATTCAATGATAAAGCTTACAGATTGTTCTCAGTAAATATTTACAGAATTAGTGAATTGATGAATAAACACATATCCTGATGTATTGCTTTAAAGGACAAGGAAATAGAGTGATGCTCTTTGTCTATAATAGAATCCTACCTGCCAAGTTCAGTCTTTGTGGTGCCCATGTTAGGTAAAATTCTCCCAGAGAACAGTTGCACATTTTTCCCTGTAGTCTAACACAGTGGTCCCCAAAATGGGCTGTACAGGATGATCCTTTGTTATGCAGAAAGCATTATAATATTCATGTATAATAAAAATTATGTAAAAAATAAACCTTATGAATATTTTTTGTATGGACTGACATTTTGCCCACCCTGATGCATATGACAGACAGCTCTGAATGGGGCCATAAGCTCTAGGTCCTGAAGGCAGGGAGTGCAAGCACACACAACACGCAGTTACTGCAGGTTACCTACACACATCAAATGAACTTTTGGGCTGTGTTACATAACTTTAGTTAGCCGTGCTTCACAAGGTAGACACCTTATGTTTTAAAATTGCTGCAAAACTACAGATTGAAGTTCATATAGACTGCAAAAAGCTATACAGATCAGAGATGATACCAGTAATGTAAGCACTAGTTGGCACATCTACTATTCCTACCGTGAGTGTTCCCATAGCCACATTACTAACTAAAATAGGACAATATAAGTTTATATGATATGAGTCAACCAAACTAGTCAAAATAATTTTAAAGGACTAGTACATTCATTGTAACCTATGATTAAATTATGGTCCAAGTCTTAGGCACTGAGATATTAACTGATGATAACAACATATATATATATATAATTTGTAAAGGAATACAGGTGGGTGCATGTTCAAAGGATTTTCTAAGTCAAGGGGTGTTCAATCTGAAGAGCTTAAGGAACAGCAGTCCTGGAGTAGTGAACGCCTCCCTTCTTCCCCATTCTGCTTTCTCCATTGTCTCACAGCACTCTCAAAGACTGAAGCTTACTGTTCCTTTCAAGGACCTGCTTCTGTAGTGCTGCCCAGTTCCTGTGTATTTCTCACCCAGGCCAACCCTCTGCTGATGTAGGAGTCAAGCCACTAACTCAACAGAAAGCAAGCTTTTTAGCCAGAGCTATATGACCATACAGAAACATTTCCATCAGATATTCCCTTACTATCTTTGTCACTAAAAGTACAGACTAGCAATTGCTAAATACAAAGAAATATAAGAGGCCGGGGATTTAGCTCAGTGGTTCCGCCGCCTGCCTCGCCAGCACAAGGATCTGAGTTCCATCCCCGATACCAAAAAAAGAAAAAAAAAGAAATATAAGCCATGGTCCTATCTGGGAGGAATGGCTTTAAAAAGTTAGTGTTCAAACTAGTGAATAGCTACAAAAGATTGACTCATGTCACTAGTGCTTAAGTCTTCCTTCTTTCTCCTGACACCAAGACCAGTAAGCTGACCCCTGCACAACCTCACACATGGAGCAGAGCGTGGGCCCATGAGCAAAACCCTGTCTGTGTCTCCCATTCCAATGCTTGTTATTGCCATTGCATGGTTTTCACACATTTTATAATGTTTTTTTAAAATACCAAAGCATGTTTCAAAATTTCACAAAGGCCAATACCATCAATAAATAACGCTTTTACATTTTGTTGGATTGAAACTGCAAAAGCTATCAATACACCAGCTTTTGATGATTTTATTAGAAATCCTAGAAATGGACCAGTTATCTTGAAGAACAGAAGCATTCTTTGAGAGTTGTCCTCGAAGATATTTTTAAGACCCCCTGTCCTAAAATTTGACATATTAATGGTCTCCTCTTCAGCCCTACATTCTTTGCTATGAAAGTGTTTCAATGAATTCACTCACCATTGTCCTTGTTGGTTGGAAATGAATGTTTATTGATCACAAGTATTGATCTACTACTTTAGATAAAAACAATACTTTTCAAAGTACACTCAAAAGAGTTGAAGGACTAAAGTAAAAATGTAACCGAGGCTGGTTGCTAAGTGACAGATCACAGCTGATTTTGCTGCCACATAACTTACTGTGATGCTGCTTACGGGATCTCCAGAATCGGCCCTCACTGAACTCTGCGTATGGATGAACGATTGATGTGGGTTTGAATATTTTGTTAGATTCAGCTTTCAATCCATTTTACATAGCTGACTTACATAAAAGATGAGTCCTACTAAAAATTCTCCAGGAAGAATGCAGCAATTATGAATTGAAGTGATCCCTGGGATTTTGGTTCATCTATTAAGGCTAATTCCTGCTTTGTTTAGAATCACAGAGCCAAAATCAAGCCTGCCTCATTTGGGGAGTATTTTTCCAAATGAAATATCTTTTTTCTGTCTGTATCAGAAGTTAAAGAAAAAAAACTACTGGTTAAAACCCTGCAAAGGTCCAGGCAAAGAGAATAGCCAGGTGTCTGTGAGCAGAGAGAAACTACAGAAGATTTGTCTCTTGAGAACTGTAACATTTGAACTTTATATCCTGACCCGCCTTAATTCAAACTCATTTATTCAGCTCATTATAACTAACTAAAATATATATTTTTAACATTTGCAAGGGATTAGATTAAAGCTTATAGAAATGGCAGTGGACATAACAGTGATATAATGCCTTGCCCATCAGATTCTGGGACATGAATTCATGATCTCTTTGTCCACATAAGAGCAGGGTTTGATGATGTAAAATGACAGCTGTTTTCATCTAGCTTTGCTTCCCAGTCAGTCTATTTCATACAACAGTCCATCATTAGAGATCATTACTGTATTACCATTGTTAAGAAGGAAGAATAAAGCCTACGCCTCTGTCTTTCTTAGATATAATAAGTCTTATGGAAAAAGAGTACCCTAAAGGCCCTTCGCTTCTAAAAATGATTAAACTTCATTCAAATCACAGCCTGTAACCCACTTCTGGGCATAGTATCAAAGTCAGCTCCATAGGTGTGATCTAAGACGGTATACTATTCCTGCCTCAGGTTTTGCACAAGCATAGTTTGCATGCATTATCCTCAAAGAACAGATTGCCTTTTACCAAAATCCTATGCATTTTGGCACTTTGTAAGTGTCTTAAATGGCATTAACTGTAAAACATTTCTTTTTACATAATTATGGCTTTGTTTTGAGTGTGTGCTAAGATGGTTGTAAAAGTTTTAAATGTGAAGGGCTTCAAGAATAAGAGAAAAATCTTTGAGCAAAACGACAAGCCTGTTGTTAACAATTAAAGTTAAAAATTTCCTGACAGTCATTCAAAACTTAAAAAAAATAAAAATGCTATATGGTTATTTTAATAATTGTTCCATAAATTATACCATTATTGAAAATGTATAGAAAATACAAGTTGTAATGATTGCAAAACACCTGGAGAATTAGAGCTATTGTTTTCTGGGGCATATTTATGTAGCAATAAGACAATCCTTGTCAATAACTGATAAAAATAAATGCAGAAAAACCTGGTGTTCACTCTAATAATGAAAAATCCTTCCTGGTACTCAGAAAAGGTCTTTGCCTCAGGCATTTACTCAGATTCCTGAACCTACCATCCTTGCCATGAATGTGTTAATTGACATGCTTGTATAAATTTTAGTAAAGCCATAATATTTTTGCATGGCAACTATTAAAAATATTTTTCCTCTTAATTTCACCAGGGAGACTGAGACTCTGAATTTTCCCCCTTGCAGGAGGGAATAATTTAGATTTTCTTCCATCCCTGTCAGAAGTTGAACAGACGAACAAAACAGATTCTTCAGAGACAATTTTACACAGAGTTACATCCATCCAATTCAATTATAAATTAAATTGACTAACGAACCATAGCTCATTATGGGAATCAATTACTCAGAACTGTCTTTGGACCAAAAATGTGGAAAATAAAAAATAATGGTCATACTTCAATATACCAGATTGTCAACGTTTGAGAGCTGTTTTTCTCTAGCTTGGCATAGTCCAACGCCAAAAAGAAATGATAATCATTTGTTTTACTGCTCCTAGAGATGTTCTTATTTTATGAAGACTAGTTAATTCTTGGGTTTTGATCTCTTTGGGATGAGTACCTCAGGCTTTTCTGCTATGACAGGCCAACCCTGGAGTCATGTAATCACATGGGGATCTTTCAGATCAACTTATGCAAATGTGTTATTAAAAGGAGCCCCGTTTTAGCCTCTAGTGCCACCCAAGCAATAAAAGTCAAAAAATCTTGGGAGGTCAGGTTAGAAGCATTTTATTAATAAAATGAATCTAGTAACAGAATGAGGGAGGCCACAACTCTCTGGTGTATTTTCAGTCCAATTGTTTGGTAAAAGTAAATCCATCGAGGACCCAATGGCTGCCTTATTTACCGAGCAGTGCTGGCTGATAAAGGAACAGTGTTAGAGCAGTGACACTCTAAATCTCCTTTTGAGGTCCATAGCTTAGAAATTTCCATCTGTTACAGTGAATAAAAATTGTATATTCTATGCATTTATCTTTATTTGATTCTCACAGCAACAGTATGGAGTAGGCACTTTGAACATATGTAGGTATAAAGTTGGCAAGTATGAACACATACCTACCCCTGTAGGGATGCTTCATTCCATGGTGTGGAAGTCTATTGCCCACTTTAGCACATCACTTAAGATGGTCAAAGAACTGGGCTAAGACATTTTTTTCAGGGAATTGTATTACTGAAGATGCCTTAGTTTTGCTTTTCCTCTTATACTTTCTATTTACTCATGCTTGGAAAATAGAAAAAGTAAATATTTCTAAATCATGCACTCACCTGAAGAACTGAGATATGTGCAAAAATTACTTGCATGGGGCCAGGGATTTAGCTCAGCGATTCCGCCGCCTGCCTCGCAAGCACAAGTTCCCGAGTTCGATCCCTAGTACCAAAAAAAAAAATTACTTGCATGTATATTTTTCTTATCCAGTGAAGCCAAAAGGAAATTTTTCACTCAGGAAAAGCTGCACTATAGACAAAAACAAGTTAATCCACATAAATATACAATTCTGCATCATTTTACTTAGAAACTCACATTTTAAAAACATCCATTTGTTGAGATGGATTGGATCTGACTTTGTTACACTAAAACTTTGTTTTAAAATATCAAGCAAAAGGGAAAAGTGGCTGGAAAATTTCAAATGTGTTTTTGGCTCATATAGTGAGGAAGAGGACAGTATCTTCCTAATTTATTTACTTTTTTACCATTATAACAAGAGAGAAGAATAACTGCATTTCCCATATGTTCAGCTAAAAGGAAAGAGGGAAGAATGGATCAGGAACAAAAAATATGAGTACTTAATAAGCAGTCTCTTGAAAGAATCATTTCAGTAAATAGGGCTGAGTTCAGGAACTCAGGTTCAGGGCTCAGAACTAAAAGTCAAAGATTTCATAATGTGCTTTGAATTGAATAATATAAAGAGGGTTTGATTGTTTTCTACATTAAATAAACAAAACTTCACTCATGTTTTAATGGCTTTGCTTTTGTCAACAGCTCATGACTTGGGATCGGGCCTGGTTTCAAGTCCTGGTTCTTACTATAATGGAAGAAATGGGTAAGTCAACTTCTCTAAGTTGGAATTTTCTATCCTTAAAACTGAAATAATAATCACACTTCCTTTCTAATGCTTTTAAGAGAATCAAGTAAGTTCAGGCATGCAAAGTACTTAGCACGATGCCCAGTTGCATAGATGCATGGTTGCTCTTTTTATTTTATAATTCCAGAACATGCAATAGCACAATGTCAAATTCTGCTCCATTCTCAGGTATTTAATTACTGAGAAACACATAGTGCAGCTGTCTTCTTTCAGTACCCTCACTCTATGAATACCTCCAATGCCACCCAGTTCTTGACCACATCCCCAAGCCAAACAGCACTGAGGCCAGCCCTCAAGCACGGCTGTCACAGAAAATGACTGCTAACTGAATGATAGCTGCCCTATAAGCAGTAAACACTCAGGCCCAGTAAATCAGGTAAACATATCTGATCACTTGTCAGAATTTGAAAAGTATGTTTCTTAAAGGCCTCAAACATGGTCTAAGTGCATTACATAAATATTTTGCTCTTGAGTCCACATTAGGCTGAATATTAGTGTTATCAGAAGTAAATACCTTTCCCTTTACTCCTTCATGTAGTGATAGGCAAAGAATCCAAGTTTAAGAGGCTGAAATCAGACTTGCATTATGTTGCAGTAGTACTTGGCAAAGCCTTCTGCTGTTTTAATTTTAACCAATTAGAAGAGCCAGTCTTTTATTTCAGAAATGTATTAAAAGATATCACATTCAAAGGCTGGACATGCCTGCAATTAATTACTGGTGTCTGGCTAAAGGTCTACCATTAGCTATTGCCATGACAACCTTTAGAAGGCCTTGGCCCACCTGTTGCAAGATAGACACAGCATTAGGCAGTTGGTTCCTGCATTTGGCCTCCTTCTGGCCTATGGGGAATTCGTACTAATTAGAATTAGTTGTCCTTCTGTAGTCCAGCTCCTGACACAAATTGCATTCTGTAGCTTTTTGTTCCACTTGAGTTCACAGACAAAATAGCCCATGCCATGTTTGAAATGAAGCAAGGCAATATAAAAGGATTTTATGTAATTGGCTAATATACTTTAACATTTTAACTAATATCTTCCATGTTGGTTTCTTGGAAGGAGTTTATTTATGTACTTCTCCTTTTACTCAATAATTGTTAATGATCATACAGGATGTAATTTTAATATGGCCTGTTCAAGTGTTATTAACCCATTGTCAGGCTCAAATGCATATAGGACAAAACAAATGACCTTTAAAAATGATAGTTTGCAATGACCCCATGGTGAGAGTAAAGAAAAATACAAACAACAGAGAAAACAAAAGGACACTTTCTCACATCTCACTAGAGAAAAACTATTGAAAGCGAGAGCCCTTGGAGGGAAGCACCAGAATGAACTAAAAAAGCGAGAAAGTAAGAAAATTATTAGGCTGTTAGCATGGGTAGCTTCGCCAGGAAATGCTGTCCACAGACTGTGAACAAGATTCAGCTCCAAGACCCGCCAAGGAGACTTGAGAGTGAAACCCTCCTCACCATTCCCTGGTAGGTAGGACTGACCCTAAGATAAGTTCTCAGGATAATATCAAAATGAACTGTGACACTGGAAATGCTTTGTCTTATGCTGCATCTTATTATGTACAGGATACAAACACTTTGGCAATGAAGCAAGATACTCTAAAACTTAACGTCTATATGGTCTTTATAGTCTCACCATGGGGTCGTTTTCATTATTTCTATAATCACTAAAGCCCCCAAACACCAAGAAAAATCAGTGATCTAAAGAATTCCTGTAAATTTTTCACACAGATGAAGGAGACTGGAAGCCTCAGTCTGCACAAGGCAGTTACTTGTACACTGGAAATAGGGCTGGGGCCTTTCCTACCTAAGCAGCTAAGTTGCCAAGAAAAGGTGATATAAATGGTCTTATTTGTTTTTACTGAATTTCTGTCTATACACGAATTTTTTCTTTAAAAAGTGCCTTAATCTTCCTACAAACAAATAATTTCATTTTTTTTAAAGAGACACAGAAAGAACTAAGAGAGTGTTCCTTTCACCATTGATGTGTTCTTAGTTGGGAGATTACTGCAAAACCACCATTTACTTGCTCATGAAAAAGAGGATGTAAGTAAATGTAAGTTGTTTTAAAATAAAATCTATACACATCCTAAATTCATTCTCCAAGCTTCCATATCAACTTTATGTTGTTCAGAATGGGATTGAGGCCAAGAATAAGCATCTCTCTTCCTTTCTCTGACTTTGAATCTGAATTCTGAAATGATAAGAGGTACTTTAAAATTCTTAAAATAGATGGATTTAGAAATGTCTGAGCCAAGGTAGAGTCTAGTTACTCATAGATAAGCCAGAACAGCCTTCGTGAGTGTATTAAATGTAAAATGTATAAAATGTGCAAAATGTGCAAGAAAAATCCCTAAAAAGTCCAAGGAAATTTTAAAGTCTCATTTTAACTGTGAAAATTACCTACTTTTTCAATCTTTTATGTAGTGCTGTAAAATATTATAGAGCTACTCAAAAACAACAAGAAAACCATTCTTCAGAAAACAAGAACATTCCAGATGAAAATGCCAATGTGTTTATCAAGGAGCAGGCCTCACAGTCTCTCAGCATTGGGCAATTTAAAATTTATTTGTTTGTTTGTAAAACTCTCCTGTGCTTTGAGCCACTAGAGAGAAAGCAAAAGAAGTTGTTACTTGGGCATCCATAACAGATACCATCAGTAATAATCACATAAATGAAAGCTAACCACAAAACACAGCACAAACCACATTACATCTCCACTTGAGCAGATGAGCTCACTGACTTGCCGGCATGAACAAGCCCAGCAATCTGCAGAAATCCCCCACCAGCTTGCCAGATATAAGACTGGCAGCCCTGAATAGTGTCTATCTTAGTGTTTCAGGGAGCCTTTTGACTCCTTTCCTCCTTGCCCTACTCCCAAACATAGGTGAGGTGCACTTTAACCAATCACAACAACTTCTCAGATTTTGCTCACAGGATTCCAGGGTTCTGGAAAACTCTTAATATGAAACAAAAAGGGAAGGATGAGACTCCCTGTGATTGGCAGGCAGTTCCAAGGCCTGATGTCTCTCCATATAGTTGATCTTTTTGATATGACCTTTATTCTCATTTCTTTACTTTTAAGTCACCAAAGCATTTCTCTGAAAAAAATCACACTGCAAAAGACCTCAGAGCAAGTGTAAAGGAAAGAATAAAATAATTTATCAAAATTGTATGAATTTGTAATTCATAATAGGAAAGAGGTAATTTAAGGAGATAGTTTTCTACCAAATGACACTGCTGTCAAAATAAATGTGGGGAAGATAATTACAGTAATTAACAAAATAGTTAATTTTACTTTGTCATGAGATAAAGTTCAGTTTGGTTTCTGATTAGGAGAAGATCAATACCAAATACCTTTCCTTCATAGTTGTTGATGATTATAAATTTAGACTATCAGTTTCTTAACTATAGACTTATACTGGGAAGACAAGGTATCAACATTCAGATGTTTCAACTACAACTCTCAGCTCTTTTGTCCCAATCTCCAGTCTGTAGTGCTCTCATCTGCCTAGAAAAGACCTACATTATCTTCTACTAAACCAAACACAACAGTGTGAGGCCCCAGAATATATTTTCCAGATGAAGGTGTTCCCTTTCTAGCTAAAAAAATAATGTTTCTTAAAGAGCAACCTGGCTCGAGTTCCATTTAGTTTTGATCATGCACGAAGAACACGAGCCAGCGAATGAAATTCCTCTAACAAACAAGCCTTAGGAGTGAACACTCCAAGTCAGTGGTGTATAATCATTCAGCCAGTTGAGGGACTGGTGTTTCTTAAGACTTTTAAGCTTTAAGATGGCGGGGGGGTACATGTACACATATCTGTCAGTTGGGGAACTCTTGGCATCAGTATAGCCTGCAGTGAGGGTCCAAAAACATTATAAATGGGGCAGAAGAAAATACTCAAGCTGCATTTCTTTAGTAATTGGAGCAATTAGATAACCTTGCTCTTGGATGCTTATAGCATTCCTCATTAAGTCTATGTTTATGAATATTTTGTGCCAACTATACCTTAAAATTACAAGATAAATGAAAGACTTTAGTGAGTTTGGTTGAGAAGTAAGACCTGTACGTGACTGTGAAGTCTTATGGCCCTCCAATAGACTGAGGTTGAGTCTGCACATCACTACTATCTAGGTGACTATGTATAAATTACAGCAAATTTCTTGTTTTCAAGACATGGGGGCATATTCATAGGTGACCAAAGGATCTTTGAAGATCTAATACTCAATGAGTTCATGATTTTTACCAAGTAGATAACTCTAAGAAGGGCAAAGGGTAGACAATGTTTTACCATATAATAAAAGGATAAGCTTTCTAGTCAGCAGTACATACAGCCTTTTATTTGTTTATTTAGGTGAAAGGAAAAAAGTAAAGATTCATTTGTAGAAGTCACTGTAAATCAGTTAGCTATTGTCACATAACAAAGCACACCAAAACTCAATGGCTCCAAACAAAAAGCATGTATTATTTTTTTACAAGTTTACAGATCAGTTATATAGTTGGCTGATCTAGGCTAGGCTCAGCATATCCTAGTGGGACTACTTGCTTATTTGCATTCAGCTGGTCAGTTGGTTGAAGGGTAATGGCTTAGGATAGCCTTACTTACATCTGTGGTACCTGGCTATCTGTGAGCCGGAGAGACAAGGGTAGCCAAGTCATGGGACTCTCATGATCATCTATGACAGAGCAGACTTATTCTTTCTTGAGGCTCAAAACTGCCACCATCACTTTTGCCATGTTGTATTGGTCAGAATAAGTCATAAGGCCAGCCCAGATTCTAAGAGTGAGGAAATGGGATTCTTCTTTATTTTATTTATTTATTTTTTTGGTACCACTGATCAAACTCAGGACCTTGCGCTTGCAGAGCAGGGGTCGGCACCACTGAGCTAAATCCCTGGCCCTTGAGATTCTTCTTATTGCAAGGAGCTGCAAATTCATATGGCATAGGCCATGGCTGCAGGGAGGAGAAAAGAATTATGGCTTTTATGCAATCAATTCTTTCATAAACAATGTTCTAATGGACTGCTATGTGCAGGCATGTCTTTAGCTGTGAGGATACAGAGAGAATCAAGCCCAATTGTCTTCACGAAAACTGTACCTTAGAGTAAGAGGAGGAAGCAGACACAGCTAATGACATCATGATGGGGAGAGCATACAAGACCTAAATGTGCAATAACTTCTGCTTAAGGGGCTGAGCAAAAGCTTCCCAAAGGTGGCAATATTTGAGCCAGATGTTGTTCAGGACCCTATGCTAGTACCTTATCTGGTTCCTGGATTATGGGAAGTTCAAAATATATACGTGCTTGATAAAGAATGAAGAATGAGAAGAAGGGCATAAAGAGAATGAAAAGTACCAGCATAAGGTATGAAATAAGGACTTTAAAAGTTAACCTTCAAGAACACTTGTTTTTTACCAAACATTTTTTGAGTGGTCACTACCTGCAAGACACTAAGGATGCGGAATATAAACCATTGAGGGAGCTGGAGGAAGTACATATCTGAATTTCTGCTCTCCATGCTGGCAGAGAATATACACACCTCCTTCAATTCCCAGTGTCCTCTTCACATGAACATTGGCACAGCTACCCCCCTCCATGCGATGGCCTCCAGTGGGATGTGAGTTCACTGCATCTGCTGAGCCATTCACATGAGCAAGCTCCATCTTCAAGACATGCTGGCCCAGTAGATCCCTAGTCATCTCATCAGAAGCTCTCATTTGTATCCCTCTTCAAAGTAAAGTGCTTAAAAAGGGTACAATATATAACACCTGTTGTTGGACTTATGGGCTATTTTGGAATACAATCTGGGCTTTATGAAAACCATATTTATGTCCTGAGACATGTACAAGCCCAGCATAGTTTTTGTAGTTCTTCTAAACATGATCTTCCAAATGGTGTCAAGAGGATCAAGTCCCATTCTTTTAGACCTAATACAAAAAGAAAAACAACAATGAAAAAACACCCAAATAGATCTACTCCATACTTTTAGGGTTAGTGGTCAAAAGTTTAACAGTGTAAGATTTTTGTAGACTATTTAGCTAATTCAAGGATCTTTGTCATAAGATTTGAATTTTCTCCATGTTTAATACCCAACTGAAGTGGTAAGCTTATTAATCCTTATTAAATATACTCAAAGGTACCCATGGAAGCACAAATAGAATAAACTGATTGAAAGTATGCGATGTGGCTAAGTTTGCCTGCTTGAATTGTTAGGCTTGTCTTGTCTTCTTTTAAAGGCTACAGACAAACTGATTGGAGAAAAATAAATAAAGAAAAAAATAAAGGCTACAGCCAAAAAAAAGTTAATTTCCATGAACTAAAATATAGCCCTTTATTCTTTCTACTTGATTTTGTAATACTAAATAGATATGCACGATATTCAAATAATAAACAACCAGTAGGCTACAGGTACCAACCAATCAGAATAAGCACAGAGAGAGTCCAGACGTGCCTGTCATTAAGCTTTAGTTGTTGGGTGACAGGGAGTTTTGAAAGGGACACTGTGGTAACCAGGACAGTGTGAGTAAGGGAAATGCTTTGAGGTCTTCTGGATTCTGCTTTTGACGAAGCATCACAATTGGGACGGTGCCACAAGGACGTGTACTTCTGTGTCCCTTACTTCTCTGGTTATGGCCAATCACGGACAAGCTATATTTTAAGATTGCTAATTTCTCAAAGTGGGGGACAGCGCTAGTATTGTTCATGTAAAAATTAATAAATATCCTTTGTATTTCTTTCAAGTAACACCAACAACCTCTCGTTTTTCGCATAAAGAAGAAACTATACATTTTGAAGGAATTGGGCAGGTAAGGAATGATTACATGAAATTAGCTTGTTCTGTGTGTGCCAGAAGCAAACACACTGCCAAGCAAATGTAAAACCAGATCCTGCACTGGAGCTGACAACACCCGCAACCCCTGCTCCTCTTCCCATCTCTCCCCCGCATCCCTGGATCTTCTCAGCACCGCTGTCGTTAACTCGTTCTTGGGCTGGACGGAGACTTGAGCTTTGGCAGCAGTACTGTTGTCAGGAATTCCTGCAAAGCAGATCCAGTCTGGTGTAGGCACTGGGCTTCATTTTCATGTTTTTGTTTTTCTGGTCTTTAAAGGCAAATTCTTTACAGATGCAGTAAGACTAGAGCTTGATAAACAGAACAAATGCTATTTTAAACAGCATAATGATAATAATTTAATCAAATGTGATTTGCTTTTACTAACTTTACTGGCTCTTTCATTTTGAAAAGTGGCCATGTGAATGGTTTGCCTTTTGTATTTAATGAGGGAAGAGATAAATTATTGTAGGAGCAGAGGACTAATAATGACTCTCATTCCCACACTGTTTCATAGAACAGTCAGCCCACACTGCCATTACAACTGACTGCCCTGAAACTCAGCCATCTTGATAAAGCCATAGGTGACACTGGGCCTGTTCCTTCTGCTGAACCTTGAGATACAGTCTCCATCAGTCAGAGCAACGCTAACATTTACATGGTGCCTAAAAATTTGCAAACTCTTTCACCAACATGCATTCCTTTTGACCTTTTTCCTCCCATTTCACAGATCCTGTGAGTACAACTAACTTAAAACATAAGTAAAGGTTAACACTAGACCCGAAGCCTTCCACAGTTAAACTCCCTCCTCTACACCATAACATGTAGTGCATTAACCTAACTAGCTCAGGCAGTTACATTACATGGCAGTCCATGCTGTGATTCTGAAAAGAACAGAATCATGCTCATTCCTAAATTCTACTTTCTCATACCACAGGCCATCTTAAAAAGAAAACATGGCTAAACAACAACTCACCATTAAATCTGCAAACCTCCTGGGTGAACAGATTTTGCCAGGATATTGAGTAGGAATGATTCAAATGAGAAAACTTCATGCACTCACACCTAAGGGACCCTTTGTACTTTTACGGGGTTGTGACCACAGAAGTGCCTACTGCTACCTCCTCTGACAAGAATATTATTTCCAAACAGTGTACAAATGCAGGACTGGGCCATCAGCATTTGTGAGTTTAAAACATTTCATTCTGCTGGAACTTAAAGCTCATGGATCAATTGTCCATGTTTTATATCTGCCTTTTTTAATCTAAGACTAACTTTATCAAACACGAACTTCTAAACTAATTTAATAATCTGAATTCCAGACTCTGAAGCCACATACTAAATCAAACAGGCCATGGATTGGTAAAATATGAGTGATAAAGTCAGAACACAGTCTTGATTCTCTAAAACTGATACTAAACAAAGAAGAGTGGCAGGGAATGGGCTGGGGTAGAGGTAGAGAATAAAAGGAGGCATAAGTTGTAATAAATTCTGCCCACCCACCTACTCCTTGAGCCCCCTAAAAACTGCTTTGAAAAAGAAAAAAGTGACTAGTAAGTTTATTTATGCTTTTTAAAAAGCACTGTCAATCCCAATTTATCAGTTACTGTCTTGTGACAATTTATTCATTGTTCACTGTTAGAAGCCAGAAGTTACATAGAAATGCATGATTGGTGATAGCTTCTCTATTTCAATATGGTATAATAGAGATAACACAGTGCCCAAAAGCTCTGCAGCCGACTTTTTGTCTGCTTTGTCTTTTTTCATTACTCTATCAGAATCTTCATTTAATATAATCCAAAAAAGCAAGGTAATTGCTTCACTTATCGGTTATCATCGCTCTCGCATACTTATCGTGTCAAAATTATTTATGTGGATAGGCCAGGTTGATCTTGCTGCATTCAGAAGCTTAAAATTTGAATAACTGTTCTGCCAGTTAGGTTATCAAAATTGCAGCATAAGCAATGAGCTTCTGTTTCTGGATGTTGGAGTGGGGAAAAGGAATCTCCTCCTGGATGTGCTGGGTGGGTAGGGGGAACTGGGCTGGGGAGGGTCTCAGAACCAGCTCTTGGTGAAAGGACAGAAGAAATGAAGAGAAAAACTGAAGATTCATCATGTAGATCTATGACAAAATAAAAAACAAATGCAGGCAATTGGATCCTGCCGTTCAGTGTTATTTTTCCTCAACAATGTCCTCAGAATGAGCAATGCAATTACTCTGAAAGGCAAGATGAACATCTCATCCTTGGTCCTCCTCATTCCTCCCTCCCCTTTCACAACTCTCCATAGATGAATGTTTCAGTATGCATTTTTCTGCTTGTTAATCATTTGTCAATTGTTAAGGCATTTTGTCGCTTTAAAGACATATTAAGCTACCATGAAATGTGGCAGGTTTTCAGTCTCTAAGCAAATATTTATTTCTACAAAATAATTTTGGTAGATAAGCCTTGTTTTGAGGTATCTCAGTCTCCTCTCTCTCTCTCTCTCTCTTTCCCCATCACACATGTTGATGACAAATATAGATTACCTTAGAGTTTTATTCATTTGCAGCTCAACATTAGAGACTGCAAATTTACTAATAGAAAATGGTTACATAAATATAAAGTTTAGTTCTTGCCAATTTTTACAAGATCTCTTGCTAAAAGTCTGAGAATCAATGGAAATTTTCTCTCCCCATCCTTCAAGAGCCACTAACCCACTCAAATGTCCTATATTGGAATAGAAAGCATTTGTGAAAGTCTCCCCAGTACAATGGGCCCTCCTCATAGCCAGCCCTCTATGGTCATAACCACTCAAGCCATGTTTGGAGCTGATGAATGATATTCTTGCGATTGTCATAAAATCATCTTGAGCTATGTAAGTGGTACTTTGTAATGTATTTCTCACTCTCTCAATGTGGTTGTTGATACTTTTTAAGATACTGCCACACTACTACCTAGACTCTAATCTCAATAAAATATTTATTGGGACCAATTGTCAATTTATTTCCTAACATACAATTCGTCCTTTGTTGGAGTTTTAATTTCCCACTTACAGTAGTTTGCCATGGTGCTGGAACCATATGAAAGAGCACAAAGTTCATAACTGTGTTTTGATTCTGTTAAGAATCTAACACCGTGTGAATAGATTTGAAGAAAGGTCAGCACCTAGGGAAATGGCCAATATACCAGTGGCTAAGAGAGTGGCTGGTGTATAATATGCACTGAAATGTATTACATGAATTAATACATGAAGGAAGGAATAGACTTTGTTCTAAACGTCAGCCTTCAAAATGCCACTCATCATTCAACAAACATCAAGCACCTACCAGCTAACAGGCCTTGTCTGGGGCCTCTCCCACTTCTTAGTCCTTTATATGCTGCTCCCTTATCACACAGCACATTGCTTTATGGCTCCAGTAACACTGATACATTTTACCTTGTGTTGTTGCTCTACACAACACATGTATTCTGTCTTGTGCTATGATTTTAAAGTTTAAGTCAGAGATTGTGTCTATATACTTTATTACCTCCATAATGACTGATAAAGTGCCTTGTACACATTAAGCATAAGTAAATAACTAGTAAAAGGAGGAACGGATTACTTAACATTATAGGCAGCTTTAGAACCAAGCTGTCAGTATAGGGCTTCTACCTCAAGCACACCTTGCTCCTTTAGCTATTTGTACAGTCCATGTTTCCAACCTCACTCTTTATGATGTGTCTACATACACTGAAATCTGACTGATGCATGCAGGTGGAAATGTTAATGAAAACCTATTCAATGCTGTCTTTTAAGAGATGAGACAAGTAAATTATTTACACTGAAGTTCAGCTTGCCTTTAATGCAAGTTCACTACATTGTTTATTTGTTAATTTACTTGTTCAGCAAATAGGTTTTGACCATGGGCCGAGCACTGTGCAGCTGCTAAGACTGAGGGGTAAAAAATACTTTCTCTGCCCTTGAAGGGTTTGGAGTCTACAGAGGGAGAAATAACCATAAACAAATAATTATACAGTTTAAATCTGTATTTGCTACTTGCTAGTTATGTGGCCTTGAGCAATTCAGGTAGCTTCTCAGGACCTCAGCTTCATCAACTGGGTAAATAAGATTGAGGTT